GGGCCGGAACGCGGGGCGGGGGGCGCGGCGCGGCGCACCCGGGCAAGCGGAAATCGGGGAAAGCTTCTGCAGTCGCAACCGGAAGCCGGGGGAGGAAAAAAATGCCCTCAGCCGGGCTTCCTGCGAGAGATCCGAGCGCTGGGAGAAAACGGGAAGCGGAAGTGGCGCACCGGAAGCGAGAAAGGGAAGAAGCGTCTGCGTTGCCAAGCAACCGACCCCAACAGCCCTTGACGCTCCCGGCGCGGAAGCAGCTCCCGCCGCGGCCCCGCCCCTGCTCCGGCAGCGAGGGGCGGTCCCGGGGACCAGCCGCCAGGGCAGGGGAGGTCGGTGGCTGCGGCTTGCAGGCCTGGTTCCGAGAGCGCAGTGATCCAGCCTGACAACGAGCAAGTTTAAAAAGTTTAATTAGTGCGGACGGATGTTTAGATCACAAGACACTTTAGTAGGTGAACTCGATCCGGTCTGTGCCCCTGAGATCTGGCAGGAGCTCCGGGCCTAGGCCGCAGGCCCCCTCCCCTTGCTTTACACAGGGGCACAGTTCCAGTTAACACAACTAGGTCTGTTATCAGCATTAATAACCGTGGAGAGCGTCTTTCCCAAAAAAAGGCACAATTTCGGTAAAAATCATTTAAGCCACTGCCAAGAGGTCCAGTTTCCAGTGTGGACAAATATTAAAACATGGCTCAAACTGTTTGCAAAACTCTTCTTAAAAATAGCACACATGAAATACTGTCAGAAAAACAATGATTCTTCAGGCAAAATCCTACTGTTACTTACTCCTTATGTGAGCACAACGCCATTACTAGGGTAATCGAGTGCAACAGAACAAAAACACGGGTTACATAAATGTTAGATCATTTAAAGTCCTTAAGGCACTACAGGGATGAATGGACAAATGGTAGCTGCTGAACAGGACAGTAGTCACCCTGGTACTTTCGAACAGAGGACTGATTAAACAAGGAAATGAGCCATTGTTCGTAGTACAGGTAGGGAGCTAGTCTCTACCCACACCTGCAAATGCCAACACCTTCAGTTTTTAGGAGATTTAGTTCTAGTTTTGGCAAGAGCACCAGCAACACAAGTACAGTTAGAAAACCCTGATAATGGATTTACTATATTCAAAGAATGAAAATAGAATCCTGACAGGGCTGGAATAGAGGAAAGTGGGAACTAAAATAATGGTCTGATTTGTTTTCTTGTGGAAGGCAGGGTAGATTTGCACTTTAAAGATTACCCAAAGTTGGTAAATACCTATAGATATGAAAGCTTCTGCTACATATAATCTATGAGTTGAAGCTCACTTCATCTTTGCTGCTTGCAGATATCAAAAATACAACCCCCCCCTGTTTTACTAGAAGCTGCAGCGCATTACTTCAACCTCGTTCTACAGCATCTGTATAGATTGGGTGCTTCAGCAGAGCTTTTTGGTGCTTTTGAAGCCGAGACAATCAGCTATTAGATAAAAGTGCCAAAAAGCCCCACTAAAAAGTGCCCAATCTATACAGACATCAGGCAAGCTGGGTCCAACCAAGGCACTGCCTCTTGTAGGCATACACTGAGCTTGGCAGGGGAGCACTCCGAGTTCCAAGTGACATTTGTTTGCTGGCTGGCTGGGGGGTGGGGGGGGGTGTTAAGCATCTGCAAGCAGCCCTTGTGGCCAGAGCTGGTGTTCAGCAGTTGCCACACATTTCCCATAGATGGCAGCATAGGTTAAAGTTTGAAACTAGCAAAGCAAACAAAAATCAGTTAAAAGGCTATACAGCAGCATGACATATAAGGTAACATTAACAAGACTTCACATGATCTCCCATTTCCCCCTCACTTCCCTGCCTGATCCACAGATTGATCACATTATGGCTCTACAGAAGGCCATGTGCAGCATTCTCCCCCTAGCTTTGACATTTAGCCATTTTCCACTCCATATTTTTTTTTTTTTTGATTTAGTGAAGAAATCAGCTTACACTGCCAACCAAAGTTTGTGAAGATTCACGGATACTGCACTCTAGCAAACACTAATCTGATCAATTTCAAGCATAGGTAAATGAATGATATACTTTAGTACAGTAAACTTTAGATGTGTTGTTAGAACAATGATGTGTTAGCTGGGACAATTAAGGATTCTACCTTATGTAAACATGATACTAAGGAAAGCCCTCTAAATAGCAAAGCAAAGTTAAGAGACTTGCTGGGAGGAAACCTACTTAGGACACATTCATCTCTGTTCAGTGATATCTTTCACACATCGCAATAAATTAGACCATAAATTTGTCCCATGTTGCAGTCACTCAGGTTTGTAGTGGTTACAAGAAGAAAAGAAAAATCTCTCTAGGTGCTGAACTGCAGAAAAATAAGATGTCTGTGCTCAGAATGGGAGTAGGTCATAGGTGAATGTGCTTTATGCAAGGGCAACATCCCACAAGGCAGTGAATTTGCCTCCTGCAGCCAATGCATCGTGCAAGAGTTTTGCACCACTTATCTAGTAGTCCATCACTTCCACAGGTGAGGCCCCCTTCTTATACTAGTCAGTAGTGTTTTGTTTTTTGTTAAGGCAAATCCCATCACAGAGTGACCTTTCCACCAAGGATCCTCTCATAGAAACATTCATCCAGCAGAACATATTTTCCCAGCTTTAGATCCAGAAAGTACAACCGATCTGATGTTTGGTGGGGGTCAAATCCTTCCCTCTGTAAACGAGTTTTCTGGATCTTAAATGTGCCTTTAAAAAAAAAAAAAGAGAGAGCGAGAGAAACATTAAAGCAATACGTTTGTAGGGCTCCAATAGTGTGTGGAAACAGTAGAGTTAAGAACAGAAACATGAACTAACATAATACTTCTTCAGGGAAGTATTATGAGACTAGCTATTGGCTGGCTGGCTGGACTAAGAGCCGATTAGTCAGTGTCAGCAAGTGTAAGACAAGTGTGCAAGGCCTCTAACATAACAGGGGTAAGTGGTTAGGCAAGAAAATAGCATATGCATGTAAAACCACAAAAGTCTGCACGTGCAAGTGATTTCCTTTCGCAGGTAATGAGAACGCTTTAGATTACTTAACAGCCAACCACACACACACACACTTTACTGTTGGGCAAAAGGCTCCCACTGACCCAACACACAGCCTGCCTACATATCAGCACTTGACTCCGAGCATGTATCCCAAAGGAATAAAGTAATTTTCTTCTGCAGAGGTCTCTTCAGTTAGCGGCCCTGGACTGGCTGTTCTCCAGTAATAAAACTAAACTACCGTCATTAATCCGCTCAGAGTGTGCACGCCTGGAGTGAAAGATACATTTGGCCTCATTTCACAATCCACGAAAAAGAAACACTGGGGACCGCAGCCAATTAATTCTAAAACCAAGTTACTAAGTACAGGTTTCTGATCTCTGTGTAGAACCAAAGCAAGTGGCAACTCTGATACTTCTGACTTCAGAGTTCATTCTGGGGCTAAAGGTTTCCAACAGTCACAAGAAAAGAACAAACTTAAAAAAAATAAATCACAAATACCTGTGGTGTCAACCTGGGGCAGGAGTCGGAGAAAGATGGGTCGTGCATAGGGAGGCAGCACCTTCTGCAACTCCTGATACAAAGCATTAGGATTCAGTTTAGATTTAGGATCAGCTATAGCTGCCATTCCAGCTTTCCCTTCAACCCCTGAAACAAACAATAGACCTCAGATAGATTTACAAGGCATAAAACGGACATGTGGCTGGGGGGGCTTCAAATTTTAAACAGATGTAAGCACAAACAGCCACCCGAAGCCCACCTCTTCACTCTGTCCAGCCACAAGAAAGGGCAGTTCTTTGTAATCCTGACAAACCCCAATAGGAATCGCTTCCTACCTTCCTTAAAGATACCTTATCTTGTCTTTGTTCCAGAGAGTCTACCCAACTCCTGCTTTATCAAACCTCCTCCCCTTCTCGCACCAAATCTAGGATGAAACCAAGGGGACAGAACAGCCATTTAATGGGAACTTTTCTGACCACAGATTTTCTTGGAACAGTTTTCTCTTTCACAAAGGGACTTTTCCTCTCACTTGCTGTAGCTTTTTCCAGGTCCTTCTTACACAGAGCACTCAAGGGCTATTTATTTACTCTTTATAAAGGCTCATTTTGTTCTGTATCAGTTTCCCATGCCAGAAACCTAGGCTTCACAAAAGAGAATTATTGGGAGGGAAGCCAGACAAGTCCCTCAGTGCTGAGTAGCAGCTAACCCTTTGTTAACAGAGTAAGCACCCAACCTCAATCTGGCCATCACTCTTTCAGGACCCACAAATATTTCTGTTTTCATGGAACTCTGACTATTACTTTAATCCAGGGTTTCTGCAGAGCTCAGGCTACAAACAGGCCAACACAGGAGCATCCCCCTTAGGCAAGCCCTTTCTTTAAGGTGTAAGATATCACAAGCCACAGTTATAAGTATGTAAATGAACAACCCATAATGAAGGATTATCTGAAGACCAGAGATTGCTAGATACCCAGAGAGACTGCTTTTCAGAGTCCTTTGCTGCCCACCCACATTGGGCCCTACTTCACCAAATGACAACCAATTTCAATTTATCCTGGAGAAGATGAGAGAAATTTAATGGCCACATCCCCCTCCCCCACAACCATGGGAGCTCTGGGTCTCCAGTTACCTGGTACCTCCACTCCATACACTGCAACATCTGTCTGGTTGAGGATGTGACTCAGGATTCCTTCTACTTCTGTGGTGGAGACATTTTCACCTCGCCATCGGAATGTGTCCCCACTCCGATCTTTGAAGTACATGTACCCAAGTTCATCCATCACTAACACATCTCCTGTGGTGGAATAGACAGAAAATGGCATCAACCCAGTGGCTCTACAGCCTGCCTCACTGCCCTTGGATAGGCCAGCTAGATAAAGCACTTTGCAGTTAATGAGAAAACTATTCACAGCTCCCAAGCTGGGTGGCTAGAGTGGCAATCATTTCTCTAGTTTCCACAGTACCTGCACCTGGAGCAAGAGGGAGAGAGGAAAGCCAATACAATGAGGGGTGCCAGCAAGAATCTGTCCCTACAGGATTTCTTCTTCTAGTTTGGACATTCCCTATTGAATCCAGCAGAGATGTAACTAGCATTTTCAGGGCATTATGCAGTGATGCTGCAGCACAGCAGGGGATACCAAACTGCTGCTTCCACCATTTGGGTTACTCCACCCTGGCTGCTGCGGTCAGACCAGCAGCTTTCCCAGATGCCACCATTCTGGCACCCTCCCCCACCCAATGCTGGTGCCCCACTTGCCTTGCCATAGTCACACTACCACAGGGGTATCAAACATACAGCCCATAGGCCAGGCCTGGCCTGTGGAGCCACTCTTATCCAGTTTGCTTGGCTACTACAGGAGACAGGAAGTGGGTGAGCATGGCCTGCCACATAATCAGGGTCCTTTGGCTCCTCTGGTCATGGCCCCCAGGCCCCCTCCCCTGGACCCACTGCTCCCAATGGACCCCTGCTAGCATACCCCTCTTGCCACTGGTGTACCCTTCACTGCTGCCATTGCGGTGGCCACCCCCCCATGCCCTGGCCTGTATCCAGCCCACAAATAACCCCACAGTACAAGTCCAGGGACTCGGGTGAGTTTGACACCCCTAAGCTACTAAAATCAGAGATACTAGGCTGATGGCAACAGGAAAGAAGCTATTGGACTACACAGACTCTACTTAAATTGCTCGCTATTACCCATTAAAACACTGGGAACTCTTACATCTATGACTGAGAACATGTCTGCATCTCATGACAGTGAAGCCTGCACTCATTCTGACAGTACCTGAAAGGTATGCTCGGTC